TAGGATTTGGTTGCATATGGAGGACTAAGTGGACGCAGCAGAAGTCTTATTTACACTAGAGATCAAGGAGCCTTCCAGAGGAAAAAGAATCTAAATTGCCACCAAACCTGGTCCAAGGATTTTTTTCCAATTTTATTCTAATTCACACACATTGCTGTATAAGTTTAAGGCGTACAGCATAGTGATTTGACTTACATGTATTGTGAAATGCTTACCACAGTAAGTTTAGTGAACATCCATCATCCCATATAGATAAAATAAAAAGAAAAGGAAAAGAAATGTCTTCCTCCTCGTGATGAGAACTCTTAGGATCCACTCTCTGAAAAACTTTCACATACATCACATGGCAGTGCTAACCATGGTCATCATGTTGTGCACTAACTCCCTAGTATTTATTCATCCCATAACTGGAAGTTTGTGTCTTTTGACCACCTTCCTCCAATTCCCTCCCCCCAATCCCCATCTCTGGTAACCACATATCTGATCTCTTCTTCTATGAGTTTGGTTTTTGGGGGGCTTTGTTGTTGTTTATTGTAGTTTTTAGATTCCACATATAAGTGAGATCACACAGTATGTGTCTTTCTCTATCTGACTTATTTCACTCAGCATAATGCCCTCAAGGCCCATGGTCCAGGAATATTGATTCAGGGTTGCAGGAGATGTGATTTTGAATTTAAAGTTGAGCTTATCTTCTGGCCCCGATCGTATAGCTAAAACCTAAATTTCAGGGGAAAGGAGGCTGTAAGAAAAGAGCAATTAACACTTAAAAGAGCTATTCCACTGAAATCTCAAAGGGATATTTTGAGGTAAAAGTCACACCACTGAAGTCAATTTTGAGGGAAAAATTTCCTTTGACTTCCTTGTACAGATATATACACAGCACCTACCCAGATCCTACCACACAGTAAGTGCTCCATAAATACATGTGAATGGATGAAGATTGAGCTCTTTCTTTATGTTTTGTCAACTCTGGAAAAATTGAATAAAAACCAATCCCCATCTTTGAAAGACTAATTACAATTAGCACTGTAAAAAAAAAAAAGTATACAAATAGTTATAGAATCATAAAGCCAGGAGAAATTCAATTATTTGGTGGGGTTAGTGTGGGCTTCAAGAGATGAATTTAGAGCTGAGCAATGAAGGGTAAGAAAAAGATCAGAAGGGCAGGGGGCAGCCATGTAATGGAAAAACACAAACAAGAGATCTGAAAGATTTGATGGATTAGGAGCAATGCTAGCTCACTAACGGATGCAGAGGACTAGGGCTTCCTTCTTTATTGGGGAAAGAGGATGGAAAGAACGTTGGGAATGATAAATCACTTTTTGCTGTTTGCCCCCACTGTCCTGATATATTTCATGTCATCCCATTACTAATGTCTATGTAAAGATTCTGAATTTTCATTTTCTAAGTTTACTAAGAATCATCCAGCCCTCCCTAAGCTTGAGTTATATATACTGAACTAAGTCAGTGTGCAATTTCCTTGAGAAAAGGTTTTTTCTAAGAAGGTACCTTCATCCCTCAGGAAAGTAAATCCCTACTGGGACCACCCTGTAGGTTCTCCAGTGAAGCCTCTACCAATGGGTACATCAGGGTCACCTGTTTCCTTATGCAGTAGAGTCCTAGCAATGTTAGCACACCTAACCCAGACATGAAGAGGAGGGGAGGAAAAAGAAGGAAAGATAGGGGAAAAGAGAGTGTGGCGAGAAAGAAAGAGGGAAGTGAAGGAGGGAAGAAGTGGGGGAGGGGAATGGAAAAGGAGAGATAAAGGGAGAAAGGAAAAGAGAAAGAGGTAACAAGTGAAAGAAAAAGAAAGAGGAAGAGAGAAGGGAGATAGGGAGAGAAAAAAAGACAGTTAGGAGTTGACCCGATGAGGACTGGGAGATCTACCTTTGGAATAAATGGATGTTTCTGTTCATAAGATTTATGTGAACAATTTAAGTTTAACAGAATTTAGACAACTTTGGGATTCATTTGTTAAGAAAAATAAATACCTATTGACTTTGGGCATTATTTTTAGTAAACTTTAAAATTGAAAATGTGTTCTTACTGCTAACATATTCGGTAGCATACGTTAACCTTTCCACTGGCTTACATTTTCTATTTGTGCCCTTCTTTAAAAGCAAGATTTCCAGTTTTCCATTCCAAAGAATTTCATAGAAAAAAACCATTTGTCATAGACTAACTTTGGAATAGGTTTGTTCTTCTTGCATCTTGTTTCAACAGTTTGTCAGGTTGTTCACAAGAATGTATAAAGTATAAAACTTTAACTTTTTTTGGAGCATTCTGCTCAGATAGCCTACACACTGACGTGGCTGGTCTTTTTGGTATGTGTGGTTATTTATTATTAACAAATTCCTATCAGCAAGCAATCTAAAGAGATTATAATGAGCTAACATTTCATTGCAAAATATGTTGCTTTATTAAATCAGTACAGAGAAATATTCTCCAAAGATAATTAATGTAAAATCTAAGACATTCTGCTATATCTCACTTAAAATCTACCTCCAAGCGAAAGCACAGCTTCACTTATAAGCATCTAGGACCTAAAACTAGAGAATTTGTTTAACATTACAAGTTTAAAAAAGTTTTAAAAACCTCAGTTCAATTCAGTAAGAACACAAATGTTCAGTCCTACTACCAAATCATCATCAAAAAACTAAATATTGCAACATAAAAAATTTTGTTGAATCAGATAATGATTTTTGCTAATTCAGAAACAATTTACCTTTATACTCTATTTCAAAGGAAATCTGGGGGCGTGAAATAGAAACCCTGATTTAAAAAGATGACACTCTAAATATGATTATTTTACATTAAATTGGCATTTCCTTCAAAAGAATGAAATAATTATAACTATTTGACTCTAATTTTTTTATTTTTGACGTGAAAAATATTTAATGATGTTATGAAATCCTACCTCCAACAACAGAGAGAGTTATGACAACCATAGAAATAAATATCAGCGATGTCAAAGAAAACACTGGCAAGCCCATAAAGAAATCATGAACTTCATTTCTCTTTTCAGAGGTTTTTTCTCCCCCAAAGACACTGACTGGTTTCCATAATCACTCACATTGACATCACTGAGGCGACTTGCTGTTGTGGTGCTTTTGACTTCTATGTTAGATTCTAGTGCCAGTGAATATCCAGATCATATTATCCCATTTGTCTTTGGAGTGAAGATGGTAAACAACTGTTTTTCCAAAGATGTCTTCATCTTTTGGATTAATATTTTGCCATAACTTTACAAATTTCCAAATTTTTCAGTCTTCATATAATGGAAATTTAAAATGAGACTCCAGGACTGAAACCAGTTTTTGTTGAACCCAACTAATCCCCAAAAGGCTTTGAACAAAGACTTTAAATAGGTCACTTAAAGAGCTATTGTCGTCATGATTAAATACTGAAGAGTGAAATCTCTGGATCAAATGGTAACTCTATGTTTACCATTTTGAGGAAATGTCAATCTGTTTTCTAAAGTGGCTGCACCATTTTACATTCCCACCAGCAATATGTTATGGTTCCAATTTCTCCATACCCTCCTCACCAACACTTGTTACTCTCTATCTTTTTTATTATAACCATTATAGTAGATGTGAAGCAATATCTCATTGTGGTTTTAATTTGCATTTCCCTAAGGACTAATGATTTTGAGCATTTTTTCATGTGCTTATTAGTCATTCACATATGTTCTTGAGAGAAATGTCTATTCAAATCATTTGCACATTTTTAAATTGGATTATCTATCTTTTTATTATTGAATTGTAAGTTATTTTTATATTCCATATACAGGTTCCTTATCAGATATATGCTTTTCAAAAATTGTCTCCCTATCTTGGGTTATATTTTCACTTTCTTGATGGTATCGTTTGAAGCACGATAAAACATATGCCCCCACACATGCACATACACACACAAAATACGTAAATGAATGTTCAAAGCAATATTATTCATAATAGCCAAAAAAAGAAAAGAACTCAAATGTCCTTTACCCATTGAAAGAAAAAACAAAATGTGGTACATCCATACAGTGGAATCGTATTTGGCAATAAAAAACAATGAGGTACTGATAGCTGCAACACGGATGAATCTCAAAAACATTATGCTTAGTGAAAGAAACCGTCACAAAAGACCACATATTGTATCATCATATTTAAAATGTCCAGAATAGTCAATTCTATCAAGACAAAAAATATATTAATGGTTGCCTAGGGCTAGGGAGGTAAAGGTGAGGGATGAAAAGGGGGAATGTGGAGTGGCTGCCAAGGGACACAAGGTTTCTTTGGGGGAGGATGAAATGTTCTAAAATTATATTATGGTGACAGTTTCACAACTCTGTAAATACACTAAAACCATTGAATTGTACACTCTAAACAGATGAACTTTATGATATGTAAATTATATCTCAAAAATGCTGTTTTTAAAAAAACTCATGTACAATCTTCACATATATGAAAGGTAAGCCAGAACCCCTTAAGGAAGTACCCTAATACACTTCCAGAATTCATACTGTAAATCTTCCTCTTATTCTTCCCCAAAGGGACTTATAGGCGACTGTGCAATTGGGGAAGAAAAAATAATTAAACTTTTGAGGGATTACTAGACAGCAGCTCTGTATCAGCACCAATTCCTGCAGATTCCAAATGCCAGTATGGTCCTATGGTCCACCAGTCAGAGGAAGGGCTTATGTAGATCAGGTGACCAACAGAGTTTGGGCTTGGGATTTGTCATTCAGAATATATAGTGAGCCCCATGGGTTTCCAACCCACACTGTGGTTATTTCCTGTTTCTGGAAGGCATAGCTGGAATAGATATCATCAGCAACTGGCAAAATCCCACTTTCAGTTCTCTGGCCATGGAGTGAGGGTTATTACGGTAGGAAAACTCAAGTAGTACCCTAAAAAGCAACATGATATTTTTGGAAGAACTGCAGATTAATTACACTGTAAAGGACTTCAAGGATACAGATATGATTCCCTTCATATCCCCATTCAGCTCACCTATTTGGCCTCTACAGAAGACAGATGTATCTTGGAAAATTATAGTGGATTTTCATAAACTTAATCACGTAGTGACTCCAAATCCAGCTGCTATTTCAGCTATTGTTTCTTTACTGAAGCAAATTAACACATCCTCCAGTATGCAGCTATTGATCCGTCAATTTTTTTTTTCTCCATGGTGAAGACCATCAGAAGCAGTTTTCTTTCAGTTGGTAGGACCAGCAATATACCTGTACAGTCCTATCTTGGAAGAAACACAATTGAAAAGTTGTTAAAATAAAGGTGTGTCCTGGGAAAGAGGGGTGTGTCAACAGATCTCTCCAAATGGGCACAGGGTGTATAAATAATAATTAGGTGAGCAAAACAGCTCATTCTGTGGATCTTAGGCATTCTCTTTCCCACAATGAGCACGTAAACAAAGGGTTGGAGGTTTTACATGAGCTCAACTTGGACTTTCACTCACCAAGGCTTATTTAGCAGCCAGAGAAATGCCAAACCCCTCAACAGCAAAGACCAACACTGAGCCCCAGTATGATATCATCCCCCAAGGGAACTAGCCAGCCACCTGGTGGCAGATTGATTACTTTGGACTAATTCCATCAAAGAAAGGGTAGAACATTGTTCTCACTAGAACAGACACTCTGGATATGAATTTGCCTTTCCAGTTCTCAAGGATTTTGCCAATCCATGGACTTACAGACTGCCTTATTCATTATCATCATATTCCACACTGTATTGCTTCTTAGCAGGGAATTCATTTCACGGTAAATGAAGAGTGGCAATAGGCTCATGCTCATGGAACTCAACGTTCTTACCCTTTTCCCCATCACCCTGAAGCTGCTGGCCTGGTAGAGCTGTGGGATGGTGTTTTGAAGGCTTGGTTATGGTGAAAGCTAGGTGGCAGACCTTAGTGACTCTTGAGTTACATCATTCAGAACGCAGTATTTTCTCTGAATTAGTAAGAAATATATGGCCTTCTTTCTCCTATAGCCAGGACCCAGGAAACAAAAAATCAAGAGATGGAAATGGAGTGACTCCTTTCACTATTACCTCTAGTAATCCACTAGCAAAAGTTTGCTTCCCATTCTTGCAACTTTGCTAGGTTAGAGATCTGAATTCCCAGAAGAAGAGTGCTTCTACTAAGTGACACATCAATGATTCCACTAAAGTGGAAGCTCAGACCACTACCTGACCACTTTGGGTTCCTCATGGCAGTAAATCAAGAGAGAACGGAGATAATCAGAGTGATTGACCTTAGCTTATCAAAACAAAATTGGTTTGCTACTAAAAAATGGGAGCAGGGAGGAGTATGCCTAAAGTGCGGCAGTTCCCTTGGAGAACTACTAAAATCTCTTAGTAGTTCCAAGATCTGTGATTTAAGTCAGTAGAAAACTGAAACAACTCAGTGCAAACAGGACTGCTCATGGCCCAGACCCTTCAATTAGGAAGATTTGGGTCACCCCAACAAAGAAGTATGGCCAGCTGAAATGTTATAAATTACTTTTGTTTCTATTTTTCCCTTTCCTGTTCCCCTACTACTGAACATACAATGTGTTAATAGTGATTAATTTTATATTTCAGTATTTAAAATATAGGCTATCAAAGGGGAAGTGTGACTCAGAAGACGAGTAAACATCATCCAAAGATGGATAAAGTGGGACTTCGTGTGCACTCCACTGAGGAGAAGGTTAGCACTCTTTGGGCTGTACAGGGAATGATTGTATTATGTTAACTGGAAGAATGATTTTGCTATTGAATTTTTTTGGATGTTAAACATGGTCAAAAGAGGTGTGTATAAATGTCAAGTCAATAAGAGGTGAACTGTGCTGAATTGTGCTATCATCAATTTGTTCAAATGCAAATTACATCTCCCAGAATCTTCTTCCCAGGAGGGTATGAGAAAGGGAACTTGCACAAGAATTGGAAGGCTGAGTGAAGCAGGAATCACTACTCTTGGAAGTTCATCACATTCAGACCCAGTGAGGGACATATGTCAAGGTGCCCAGAATATAAATCGCTCTCATCTGCTCCTCATTCAGTTTGTCTTCCAAACTACTGGCCGTGTTGACCAACAGCAGCCCAGGCCTAACACCAGTATCTTGGCTGTGGACCTACAGAGACAACTGTTTCCAAGAGATCTTTCCACAGGCTCCTACTTTCAGGTACCACTTCAACAGCTGGATGTACTTGGCCTCGGATTTTTTTGCAAGCTGTGACTTCTCCATCCGCTCCAATGCTTCAGAAGGCCTGGTCAGAGACTTGTTTTGTGGTCTCTAACTCCTGCTTTCAGACCTTCACTTCCTTAACTTTTCCATATTTTTGTAAGGTCTAATTACTAAAATAAATCCCTTATTCCCATAATATTCATAGTGGTTTGGCTTCCCTGATGAACCCTGGCTGAAGCTAACCGATCCAGTTTCTAGCCACAAGAGACTAATTGCTCACAAGTAATTCCAGGAATTATGTTGGGTGGGGGAGGGATGAATCTTTGTGTAGCTGTAATCAGCTATTCCAGCTTTGTGCTCCATTAGCATGTTTGAAAACATTTTAAGACTCATATTTATAAGTTATCACATTTACCTCCACTTCCATAAGAAGATACCCCCTCAATCCACAATCACATTTTGGGAGAAAATCCATTTTTTCCCAGTATCTCCATGTCTAAAATGTCATATGAAGTAAGTGTGGATGTACTATTTGATTGACCTGTCATTAGAATTCCATCTTTGGGGGCTTAGGTTGATTCACTTGGTTTAAATATTCTACACTTATCAACTCCAATGTGTCACTTCTCTGAAGGTGCCCCTCTAAAAAGTTTAAAAGTCAATTGGCCTTAACACAAATATAAATTTTTATGAGCCATATTTTAACTACCAAAGCCACTATCACATGAATAATGAGACAATGGTAATAAATTTATTACATCTTATATTTGACATTTTCAAGCACTGAAATCCAAACTCATTTCTGAAGGTCTCTAAATTAATTCACAAGTCAGTAACGGTTTTTACGACTTGGAATAAATACTAATTAGTTGTTAGAGTGCTTATCTGGTTTTGTCTCACTTATTTAAAAATGATGTCATGAACTTTGAACCATGAATATTGATAGCTGAAAACCCTGACATCTTTAAGACAAACAGCTCTGACATGAGTCATAGAAGTCTTCATGTCCTCATACGTCAATATGCTAAAAGTTCCTTTCTCTTCTTGAGACTTGTAGCAGCCCTGTGACATTCAGGAAGCCAAAGTAAGATACGAATAGGGTTGGTTTCTATTTTTCTGGCATTCGGGACATTGAGAAACAATCCAGCTAAAGGGTGTTAGTGGACAGGTGCCATCTGCTCAACTACAGACAAGTTGATTGATTGAATGAATGACGCTTTTCTATTGAAAGCAGACCCATGTACAATTTCAAGGTGACCTGGATAGAGCTGTCTACCCCCCTAAAAGGGTGGACAAAATCAGATGGAAATGCATAGAAGTAGGTCATGGAGAAGAGGCTGAGACTGAGACCAGTGGGGCATCATTTGAGATGATCTGAGGGTAGATTTCCAGATGCAAGAGGAGCTCATAGTCAGAAGCAGCCAAAATCCTATTTGGGCAGATGGCATTATAGGTTACCTCAAAAGAGAGGCAAGGGATGAGGTTGTTGTCCTGAATAATCAAAAGGAAAAAATGGTAGAATGAAAAGTATGATAGATTCAAGTGATTTGGGATTTTTTTCCTTTGAACAGAGCTTGTCCTTTTTATGTGAGATCTGAAGAGTAGGGAAGAAAGAGGTAAATACGGATGTTTAAGGAAGCCATACTGGACTGGCCTGGACTGGCATGAGGTGGAAAGGAACTCTTCAAACCTGGTGCTCATCATTCTTGTCTGTACTCGTATTCAAGTCTCAGAGTCTGTCTGGATATAGATTACACCCTGTAGCTGTCTCGGCTGACAAACATTTCTGGCTTGGGATTTTAGTGCGCATTTCATTTAGTGTATATTTGTTTAGAACTTGCCATAACCCACCAAATTGAATCACATCAGAAAGTTGAGGATCTGGTAGTGGGAATTTCTTAGGTTCCCTGCCTTTGTCAGGACCAATGTGAAAATTGCTGTGAGGTCACTACCCACAAGAAGGTAGTGAGAACCTGCTCAGGGCTTTCTCTCCTCTTTCTAGTTTCAGGTCAAAGCAGAAGTCATTACACTGTACACATGGAAGGCATTCAACACACGAATGCTGAATGATCAGAAATGACCACCAAAAAAACTTTGAGATCCAGCATCTAAGGCATCGTCCATCAGAATTACATAGGTAACTCTTAGGAATAAAAACTAGCATTTGCTATGTTAATCTTCGATATTGTAATTCTTGAGGAATTACAGATTAATTATATCATAAAAGACTTGAAGAACAAAGCGGTAGTGCTTTCCTTTACATCCTTAATCCAACTCATCTATCTGGCTTCTACAGAGGACACGCATATATTGGAAAACGACAGTGGATTTTCACAAACTAAATCAGATGGTGGCTCCAAATCGAACTGCTGTTTCAGACATTGTTTCTTTACTAAAGCAAGTCAATACCTCCTCTGGTATGCAGCTATGATCTATCAATTTTTTTTCTCTACACCTGTTGGTTAAGATGATCAGAAGCAGTTTTTGGGGGATGGGTGTGATGGGTGAAGGTGGTCAAAAGGTACAAACTTCCACTTATAAAATAAATAAGTCCTGAAGATGTAATGTACAGCACGGTGATTGTAGTTAATCATATTGTGTCATATATTTGAAAGTTGCTAAGAGAATAAATCTTAAATGTTCTCACCACAAGAAAAAAAATTTGTAACTATGTGTGGTGATGGATGTTAACTAGACATTGTGGTGGTCATTTCACAACATATACAAATTTTGAATCATTATGTTGTACACTGAAACTAACGTCATCTGTCAATTACATCTCAAAAAAAAAGAAGCAGTTTTCATTCAGTTGGCAGAGCCAGCAATATGCTTTTATAGCACAGTGCTATCTTGGAAGAAACATTACTGGAAAATCAGTGAAACGGAGGGCAGGGGAGAGTGGAGGATAGACGGATCCCTTTAAATGGGTGCCGGCTGTGTGAACGTGTGTGTCTCCTCAGCAGAGGAAAATCTCAATAACTAGGTGAGCAAGATGATCCGTTCTGTGGATCTTAGGCAATCTCTTGTCTCCATCGGGCACGTGAAAAAAAGGAATGAAGGTTTTTCATGAGCCTTTTTA